TCGTCCAGGATGGGGATGAAGAACGCTTTTTTCTTCTCGGCTCGGGCTTAGCCGAAGAAGAGGAAAAAGAGTTAGAGGCTTTTTTAAGAGCAAATATTGAGGTGTTCGCTTGGACACCTTACGAAATGCCTGGCATTGACCCCGAGGTCACTTGCCACAAATTGAATGTTGACAGGTCGGCTAAACCTGTAATTCAGCGAGCTAGAAGACCGACGTTGATACACGTCGAAGCAGTAGAAGAAGAAGTAGACAAACTTCTGGAGGCCAGGGCCATTAGAGAAGTACACTACCCAACATGGTTGTCCAATACAGTAGTGGTAAAGAAGAAGAACGGTAAATGGAGGGACTGTGTAGACTTTACCAGCCTCAACAAAGCCTGTCCCAAAGACAGATTTTCTCTACCCAAAATTGACCAGCTAGTAGATGCCACTTCAGGGCATGGAAGAATGAGTTTCCTAGACGCCTACAGGGGGTACCACCAGATCGCCATGTACCCCCCAGACGAAGAAAAAAATGCATTCATCACCCCAAAAGGCCTGTACTGTTACACGGTAATGCCTTTCGGGTTGAAAAACACAGGAGCAACTTACCAAAGGCTGGTAACCAAAATGTTCAAACACCTGATTGGCCGAACGGTAGAAGTCTACATCGATGACATGGTCGTGAAGACCAAGGAACCTATGGGACATCTTGCCGACCTAAAAGAGGTCTTTAATATACTCAAAACATACCGGCTCCGATTCAACGCCTCAAAGTGTGTGTTTGGAGTTGGATCAGGTAAGTTTCTGGGGTATCTGGTAACAAGAAAGGGCATTAAGGCCAGCCCAGATCAAATCAAGGCCATCCTAGAGTTGAAGAGCCCGACAACGGCAAAGCAGGTGCAAACGCTAACTGGAAGGGCCGCAGCCCTAAACAAGTTCATCAGCAGAAGCTCAGACAAATGTAAACCCTTCTTCAACCTGGTGAAGAAGGCCACGGACTTCCTATGGACTGAGGAATGTGAGGCCGCTTTGGCCGACCTAAAAAAGTATCTGACCACGGCTCCAGTCCTCTCAACACCTGAACCTGGAGAAGAACTGTTTTTGTATTTGGCAGTTTCAAAACATGCAGTAAGTGCAGTGCTAATCCGAGAGGAAAAATGGGAGCAAAAGGCTGTTTACTATGTAAGCAAAACCTTGGCCGATGCAAAAACAAGGTACCTACCACTAGAGAAATTAATGTTGGCCTTAGTAATGGCTTCAAAGAAGCTGAAACATTACTTTCAATCGCACAAGATTATAGTGCTAACTGAGCACCCATTGAAGTCCTTGTTACAACAAGGAGACTTAACAGGAAGAATAGCAAGATGGACAGTGGCCTTGGGCCAATACGACCTCGAGTTCAGGTCGAGAACAGCAATTAAGGGCCAAGTTTTGGCCGACTTCGTGGCCGAATTCACACCAAAATCCATCAAACATCAGGCTCCGTTGAGCCAAGATGAAGGACGTCTAAGCAAATAAGGAGAAGCCCAGCCAAAGGCAAAAGAACAAGAAAAACTCAGACCCTGCAGCATTTACATCGGCGACTCCTTTTGCCTGTTCGTCGATGAGAGCTCAAACCGGCAAGGATCAGGGGCAGGAATAGTGTTAATATCTCCTGATGGGAAGATATTGGAACAGTCAATCCGATTAGGGTTCAAGGCCTCGAACAATGAGGCAAAATACGAAGCATTGATTGCGGGACTAAAGTTGGCAGCGGCAGCAGAAACAGATGAGGTAATAATTTTTTGTGATTCACAACTTATAGTAAATCAGACAACAGGAGAATTTGCAACCCGAGATGAGAGGATGTTAGCATACGCAAAGGAAGTCATCAGGCTGGTAGCCTTGTTTCGCAACTGTCGACTTCTGCAAGTTAGCCGAGATGATAACAGCCACACTGATGCATTGGCCAACTTGGCAAGTTTAATAAAAACTGAAAAAACAAGGACAATCATGATTGATTATTTGTCAAGCCCAAGCATAGAACAGCCGATCACAGAACAAGAAGCAATGTGTGTAGACTTGGGACCAAGCTGGATGGATGCAATTGTTGCATTCCTAAAAGAGGGAAAGCTGCCAGAAGACCATAAGGAAGCACACAAGGCCAGTTTGAAGTCGGCAAGATTCAATCTGACAGCGGACGGACATCTCTACAGAAGGTCCTTCACTAGACCCCTTTTAAGGTGCGTACACCCTTTGCAGGTTGAAGATTTTCTATATGAAATTCATGAAGGGGTTTATGGAAGCCACGTTGGGGGCAGATCACTAGCTCACAGGGCCATTACCCAGGGGTATTGGTGGCCCTACATGCAAAAAGATGTTGAAGCCTACGTGAAGAAGTGTGAGCAATGCCAAAGGTTCGCACCTTTGATACACTAGCCATCTGCTGACCTGAACCCTGTATCCAGTCCATGGCCATTTGCCCAATGGGGCATGGATCTCATTGGGCAGTTGCCCCAAGCAACTGGGCAAAGGAAGTACTTGCTGGTAGCAACAGAATACTTCACGAAGTGGATAGAAACAGAACCTCTTGCCAAAATCCGAGATGTGGACGTCAAGAATTTCATATGAAGAAACATCATTACCAGATTTGGCATTCCAAGAGCAATAGTTGCCGACAACGGAATGCAGTTTGATAGCAAACTTATCAAGAACTTCTGTGCGAAATTCAAGATAAAGAATTACTTTTCAACACCAAGTTTTTCCCAAAGCAATGGGCAAGCAGAAGCATCCAACAAAGTAATTTTGGATGGGATAAAGAAGAGACTGCAGGCAGCAAAAGGAAAGTGAGTGGACGAGTTGCCCAATGTACTCTGGGCATATCGGACTACGCCGAGAAGATCAACGGGGGAAACCCCCTTTGCCATGGCCTACGGCACAGAAGCAGTCATCCCACTGGAGATCGGCATCCCAGGGATCAGAACCCAAGGAGTAGAGAATGAGACTAATGACATACTTATAGCCCGAGATCTGGATCTCTTAGAAGAAAGAAGGGAGAAAGCTGCAATTCAGCTCACAGCATACCAACAACAACTTGCTAGAACTTACAATAAGAAGGTTAATCCAAGGGATTTTCAAGTCGGCGACCTAGTCCTGAGGAAAGTTGTTGGCAACAAGAAGGACCCCAGAGAGGTAAGTAATGCTTAACGCTTGTTGAAATTTGTAGCAATTTACAAGTTTAGGTTAAACCTAAGTAATGCTTAACGCTTGTTGAAATTTGTAGCAATTTACAAGTTTAGGTTAAACCTAAGTAATGCTTAACGCTTGTTGAAATTTGTAGCAATTTACAAGTTTAGGTTAAACCTAAGTAATGCTTAACGCTTGTTGAAATTTGTAGCAATTTACAAGTTTAGGTTAAACCTAAGTAATGCTTAACGCTTGTTGAAATTTGTAGCAATTTACAAGTTTAGGTTAAACCTAAGTAATGCTTAACGCTTGTTGAAATTTGTAGCAATTTACAAGTTTAGGTTAAACCTAAGTAATGCTTAACGCTTGTTGAAATTTGTAGCAATTTACAAGTTTAGGTTAAACCTAAGTAATGCTTAACGCTTGTTGAAATTTGTAGCAATTTACAAGTTTAGGTTAAACCTAAGTAATGCTTAACGCTTGTTGAAATTTGTCGCAATTTACAAGTTGACGTTAAGCCGAGATAATTGTTTATCTTCACTTGTTGAAATTTGTAGCAATTTACAAGTTGAAGATTAAGCCGACATATATTATTTAACACTTGTTGAAATTTGTAGCAATTAACAAGTTGAAGTTGAGATTAAACCAGAATATGTTTATCCTTGTTAAAATTTATAAGCAATTGGCAGGACGAGAACTTGCCGAGGTGTGTCACCCCGAGAAGGTTACATAAAGAAGGAAGAGTATACATATGCAGGATATTCTAAGTATAGAATCATGCAAAGACAAAAAAGAGAAGACATGAGTGCAAGCACTTAGAAAAGAAAAAGTTATATTCACTTACAAAAGAAGAAAAGGGCACATCGGCCATACAAAAAGCATACATTGTTTCAAAAGATAAAAAAGCAACAAAATACAAGTTAGCAAAAGAAGAACATAAAACTAAGACTCCTCTCCATCAGTTGGTTGAATTTGAAGATCAGTTGCTTGTTGAGAAGACATCCCAGCAACATTATCCGCCGCTATCTCGGCATCAATTTCTTGCAGAGTTTCTTCAACACTTTTGTCCATAGAGGAGACGTCGGCAAGTGCATTCTCGGGAACAGCTTCTATGGGAACCTCATCACCTTCCTCATCCTGAGTCAAGTCTAGGACTTGCTCATTCTGAGGAGGGGACTTGGCCCCATCAGCATCCTTGGGTTTTCTCACCAAGGCCTGATCCTCATCCTCATCATTTTCCTCGGATTCAGATTCGCCGATGTCTTGACTTAATGATTGAGCTGGAGGGAATCGAAGAGGGATGGCATCGGCTTTCCTCAATGGTGAGTTTTCAGGAACATTGAGTTTTTTCAGAAGAGACATCCAACCAAGGGTGAAACCCTTATTGCATGCCTGCTTCACTTGAAGTTCATAGGCCTCAGTAACGTCGGCCATGCCTTGAGTATACGCCTTTTCATTAGCTTCTTTTATTTCGGCATCCTTAGTGGCCAGGGCCTCCTGAAGCTCTTTTTCGGCCTGGGCCATTCGTTCCTCGGCTTCTCTCTTCTGAGATTCAGCCACTTTTCTGATCACCTCAATAGCCTCAGCCTTCTCTTCAGCATTGTTCTGAGCTTTGATTGCAGTCTCGGCTTGATCCTCTAATTTTTTCATCTTTGATTGTAAGCCTTTATTAGTCTTTTGGAGGGAAGAGAACTCCCTCTTCATCTCGACAAGCCTCTCCCGATTCTCAAAAGATTGCATTGAGAAAGAGTGGGCATGCTGGATGGCCTGAAAGAAAACAGAGGTGTTAGAGAATACTCAAAGTATAAAATAAAGGGAAGAAAAGAAGAAAGATACCAAATAGAAAACATTTACCTAAACGGAGTGTTGAAGCATAAGGGCATAGTTCTCATGCTCACTATACTGGGCATTTCGCTTCAGATCGCCTGGAAGAAGCAGAGCGGTACTAAGTGCGACGTCGACGTTTATATCATCGGCACGATCGCTCGCCATGACAGGCTTGTCTTCCAAAGTAATTGTGGGGGCCCAGGGGGCATCGGGCTTTTTTGATCCCGAAGTTATTGCAGAAGAAGACCTCGGCTTTTTGGATTGTTGGGATTCTGGTGGTTGAGACTCAGAACGCCTCTTCCCAACAGAAGGCTGGGATTTATCACTCTCAGCTAACTTTGAAATAGGGAGAGTGTCTTCAGACTCAACCTGAACTACCTTGGCCTTTGGTTGAGCCTTTTTTATTCTTTTTGGCTTCGGTGGAGGAAGGGTTTGTGTTGGCTGCTCATCAATAGATGATGGAATACTGGCTAGAAGATCTTTTGTAACAGGCTTAGGGTGACCCATCTCGGCAGTAAGGACAAATCGTCGCCGACGCTTTCGTTCTGCAATTGGAACCAAGTGTGGAGCTGAAGAAGATGGCTGATCCGCTGGATCAGATGTTGATCCTTGATCTGTTCGTGATGTGGATATAGTCAATGGATTTGTAGCAGAAGGTGGAGAAAGGCTTTTCTTCTTCCTTTTGGGAACGTCGGGCAAAGTCGACTTGTATGATGGAATAAAATTGAGAAGCACTGGCGCTTTTCTCTTATGGACTGGCAAGTCCAGAAGTTTCTTCAAGCCCTTGCTAGCGACAAAGGACTGGCGAAAATTTTTCGGTGGCTGACGAACAGCTGCAAGAAGAACAAAACGTCAGAAATAGACAAAGTATTTAAAGACTTCGAAAGAAAACAGGCAAAGCTGAATACTGGGCTCTTACCCTTGCCCTCTAAAATTGATCGGGGAAGAGGGTAGAGATGGATGTCCTCGTCTGGAGCAAACTCCCAATTTCCTGAGGTAATGAGGTAGTCATCTCCAGCCCCCTTGTTGGAGTCTGGGAGGTCGGCTACAATTTTGAATTCTGTAGACCTCGGCTTAAGGTAATAAATGTAGCCTTTTTCTTTCAAATTAAGGGTACACATGGTATACCAATACTGGATATCGGCTAGGGTGATCCTAGCGGTTTCCTGTTTAGCTAAGGCTATGGCACCAAAGATCACTCGATAGGAGTTGATTGCCAGTTGCATGGGGTTCAACTTATAGTAATGAAGAATCTCGCGAAAAAGAATGTTGAGTGGGAGCCGGAGTCCGCACTCAGTAAAAGCTACAATGGGAAAGGGCATGGCGTTTTTTGTAAGCATGATGGAGTCATCATCCCCAGCCAGCCTCAGATGGACATCGGCAGGGATGGAGAACTCTTGCCTAAAGTATTCAAGTTTGGTCGGGGTATCTACCTTATGTCTCTACATACCTATGATATCGGCCTGAATTAGAAGGGTTAAAATTCAAAAAGAAGATGTTTCTAATTGATGGGACCTCGGAAAAACCTAGGTTTGGGCTGGTACAAAAATTTATAAGGAATGTTTCAGTTTTGCCCTAAATCGTAGGTTCTACAAACAAATTCCAAACCTAAAACTATGGAGATGAAGATCAAAGGCACAGATCTGGAAAAGACACAAGAAACAAACAGCAAGAATGTAATTTCAGAATCAAGAACAGAGATGGTTCATCAAGAGCATAAAGAATACAAGAAATACAGGGCCAAGATTAGTGACAAAGATACTGGGAAATAGTGAAATAATGCGTATGTTCAAGATATGGGCAAAGGGAAAAACATGAGAAGGACACATTCAGGTGTATGAATCGCAAAATTAAAAGTTTCAACAGATGCAGTAAAGGCAACAAGTAATGAAGAATATCAACAGAATTGAAAACAAAAGGAACAGTAGCTTACCAGAAAAGAGTGAAGCCGGTATGAAGATTGCTGAAGTTCGATGATGGTTGCAGGAGTAACAGAGTAGCGAAAGCTTCACCAGAAAGACGAAATGAAGACAACTGCAGAGCTTGGAGCTTGAGCAATGGCGGATTCGAAAGAAAGAGTTTAGAGAGAGAAAAAGCAAAGAGAAATCAGATGCAAAAGTGGAAAAATGAAGAAAGGGGGAAAGGTTTTTGTCAAAAATGAAAACGGCGGCAAAAAATAATCAATACGCCTAGAAGAACACATACGTCAGACAGCGCACGTAAAAAAGATACGGCTTATGGGCGTGTCACACGTACGAACCAGTAAGAAAGAAACACGTGGTTAAAAATGGTTGAATTATGGTGTATGACAGCTCATACGCGTGGAAGGATTCTTGAAGTTCTTGTTCTTCAATAAAAGGATATCGGCCAAATAATGATCTCGGCTGAGATACTGAAAACCGACATACTGGAAAAACGGAATGATATAGGTTCTATCACCTCAGAATGTCGAGGTAATAGAACCTAGGGGTAGTTGTGGGGATATATTTTTTGAGTACCAACACGTGGCAAGGTGACGCCGACGTGTCAGCCGAGGTGCCACGTGTCCTGGTCATGACGCCGAGGTGATCTCGGCAAGGCCGAGGTTATCTCCGAAGATATCGGAATCCGAGATAAGAGGATAAAAGATAAGGGACAAGAGTCCTAGAATAAAGAGGAGATTTAGCCAAGATAAGGATAAAGCTCTTAAGGAGTTTCTTCAACACTCTTGTCCACAGAGGAGACGTCGGCAAGTGCATTCTCGGGAACAGCTTCTATGGGAACCTCATCACCTTCCTCATCCTGAGTCAAGTCTAAGACTTGCTCATTCTGAGGAGGGGACTTGGCCCCATCAGCGTCCTTGGGTTTTCTCACCAAGGCCTGATCCTCATCCTCATCATTTTCCTTGGATTCAAATTCGCCGATGTCTTGACTTAATGATTGAGCTGGAGGGAATGGAAGAGGGATGGCATCGGCTTTCCTCAATGGTGAGTCTTCAGGAACATTGATTTTTTTTCAGAAGAGACATCCAACCAAGGGTGAAACCCTTGTTGCATGCCTGCTTCACTTGAAGTTCATAGGCCTTAGTAACGTCAGCCATGCCTTGAGTATACGTTTTTTCATCAGCTTATTTTATTTCGGTGTCCTTAGTGGCCAGGGCCTCCTGAAGCTCTTTTTTGGCCTGGGCCATTCGTTCCTTGGCTTCTCTCTTCTGAGATTCAGCCACTTTTCTGATCGCCTCAACAGCCTCAGCCTTCTCTTCAGCATTGTTCTGAGCTTTGATTGCAGCCTCGGCTTGATCCTCCAATTTTTTCATCTTTGATTTTAAGCCTTTATTAGTCTTTTGGAGGGAAGAGAACTCCCTCTTCATCTCGACAAGCCTCTCCCGATTCTCAAAAGATTGCATTGAGAAAGAGTGGGCATGCTGGATGGCCTGAAAGAAAACAGAGGTGTTAGAGAATACTCAAAGTATAAAATAAAGGGAAGAAAAGAAGAAAGATACCAAATAGAAAACGTTTACTTGAACGGAGTGTTGAAGCATAAGGGCATAGTTCTCATACTCACTATACTGGGCATTTCGCTCCAGATCGCCTGAAAGAAGCAGAGCGGTACTAAGTGCGACGCCGACGTTTATATCATCGGCACGATCGCTCGCCATGACAGGCTTGTCTTCCAAAGTAATTGTGGGGGCCCAGGGGGCATCGGGCTTTTTTGATCCTGAAGTTATTGCAGAAGAAGACCTCGACTTTTTGGATTGTTGGGATTCTGGTGGTTGAGACTCAGAATGCCTCTTCCCAACAGAAGGCTGGGATTTATCACTCTCAGCTAACTTTGAAATAGGGATAGTGTCTTCAGACTCAACCTGAGCTACCTTGGCCTTTCGTTGAGCCTTTTTTATTCTTTTTGGCTTCGGTGGAGGAAGGGTTTGTGTTGGCTGCTCATCGACAGACGATGGAATACTGGCTAGAAGATCTTTTGTAACAGGCTTAGGGTGACCCATCTCGGCAGTAAGGACAAGTCGTCGCCGATGTTTTCGTTCTGCAATTGGAACCAAGTATGGAGCTGAAGAAGATGGCTGATCTGCTGGATCAGATGTTGATCCTTGATCTGTTCGTGATGGGGATATAGTCAATGGATTTGTAGCAGAAGGTGGAGAAAGGCTTTTCTTCTTCCTTTTGGGAACGTTGGGCAAAGTCGACTTGTATGATGGAATAAAATTGAGAAGCACTGGCGCTTTTCTCTTATGGACTGGCAAGTCTAGAAGTTTCTTCAAGCCCTTGCTAGCGACAAAGGACTGGCGAAAATTTTTCGGTGGTTGACGAACAGCTGCAAGAAGAACAAAACGTCAAAAACAGACAAAGTATTTAAAGACTTCGAAAGAAAATAGGCAAAGCTGAATACTGGGCTCTTACCCTTGCCCTCTAAAACTGATCGGGAAAGAGGGTAGAGATGGATGTCCTCGTCTGGAGCAAACTCCCAATTTCCCGAGGTAATGAGGTAGTCATCTCCAGCCCCCTTGTTGGAGTCTGGGAGGTCGGCTACAATTTTGAATTCTGTAGACTTCGGCTTAAGGTAATAAATGTAGCCTTTTTCTTTCAAATTAAGGGTACACATGGTATACCAATACTGGATATCGGCTAGGGTGATCCTAGCGTTTTCCTGTTTAGCTAAGGCTATGGCACCCAAGATCACTCGATAGGAGTTGATTGTCAGTTGCATGGGGTTCAACTTATAGTAATGAAGAATCTCGCGAAAAAGAATGTTGAGTGGGAGCCGGAGTCCGCACTCAGTAAAAGCTACAATGGGAAAGGGCATGGCGTTTTCTGTAAGCATGATGGAGTCATCATCCCAGCCAGCCTCAGATGGACATCGGCAGGGATGGAGAACTCTTACCTAAAGTATTCAAGTTTGGTTGGGGTATCTACCTTATGTCTCTACATACCCATGATATCGGCCTGAATTAGAAGGGTTAAAATTCAAAAAGAAGATGTTTCTAATTGATGGGACCTTGGAAAAACCTAGGTTTGGGCTGGTACAGAAATTTGTAAGGAATGTTTCAATTTTGCCCTAAATCGTAGGTTCTATAAACAAATCCCAAACCTAAAACTATGGAGATGAAGATCAAAGGCACAGATCTGGAAAAGACACAAGAAACAGAAAGCAAGAATGTAATTTCAGAATCAAGAATAGAGATGGTTCATCAAGAGCATAAAGAATACAAGAAATACAGGGCCAAGATTAGTGACAAAGATACTGGGAAATAGTGAAATAATGCGTATGTTCAAGATATGGGCAAAGGGAAAATCATGAGAAGGACACATTCAGGTGTATGAATCGCAAAATTAAAAGTTTCAACAGATGCAGTAAAGGCCACAAGTAACGAAGAATATCAACAGAATTGAAAAACAAAAGGAACAGTAGCTTACCAGAAGAGAGTGAAGCCGGTATGAAGATTGCCGAAGTCTGACGAAGGTTGCAAGAGTAACAGAGTAGCGAAAGCTTCACCAGAAAAATGAACGAAGACAACTGCGGAGCTTGGAGCTTAAGCAATGGCGGATTTGAAAGAAAAAGTTTAGAGAGAGAAAAAGCAAGAGAAATCAGATGCAGAAGTGGAAAAGTGAAGAAAGGGGGAAAGATTTTGTCAAAAATGAAAACGGCGGCAAAAAAGTAATCAATACACCTAGAAGAACGCATACGTCAGACGGCGCACGTGAGAAAGAGACGGTTTACGGGCGCGTCACAAGCATGAACCAGTGAGAAAGAAACGCATGGTTAGAAACGGTTGAATTATGGTGTATGACAGCTCATACGCGTGGAAGGGTTCTTGGAATTCTTGTTCTTCAATAAAAGGATATCGGCCAAAATAATGATCTCGACTAAAGTACTGAAACCGACGTACTGGAAGAACGGAATGATATAGGTTCCATCACCTCAAAATGCCGAGGTAATAGAACCTAGGGGACAGTTGTGGGGATATATTTTCTGAGTACCAATACGTGGCAAGGTGACGCCGACGTGTCAGCCGAGGTGCCACGTGCCCTGGTCGTGAT